ATAGGCATATATAAAAATATTTAGCTCCTGTTTGAAACCTCTTTTTTTGCCCAAATATCTAATTCTGCTACAGTACATTCAGACAAGGCTCCCCAAAGTCAAGAAAGCTGTCAGAAACCCAATTTTTTAACAATTCCTCCCATTGTAAAATGTTTACGTTTTTGCCTCCATCTTTAATTGTTTATCAAAACTCATTTCGGCCAAAACCCATTTCTACCTACTCCTCTCCAACAGTTGCAGAAACAAACCAGATCACGACGACCTCTGGAACAAATCTACGGGAAAAATTGGAAGTTCTCTGAAATCCAGGTATACATACGGCTTTTTTCACTATCCCAATGACCTAAGTAATTTTTCTCCTGTGTCTGATTTTGTGGAAATTTTTGACTTTCTTCTCCTCTGCCGTGTTCCAGGCTTCGATCCGGTTGGAACTCAAGCAACAAATTCGGCATCTAGCACGAATTAGTGACCGGATTCTATGGAAAACGACTTCTCCCAATGGCAAAGTTCCCCCGACCAAACGGTAAGCCATTCCTCATTCGATCTCTGTGAAGGAGCATACTGTGTCAATTTGCTACCCGTTTATACCACTCTCATCATGCGTGTTTCCCATGGCAGCGGTTCACAAGTGGGAGCCCACATAGGTTGCACCCTGATTCTTCCAAGTCGCAGGCAGCCCGGGTATGGTGCGTAAGATGGCAAGGTGGAACCAGCTGGAGCACAAAGTATTTATCGACACCTACAAACTTGTCATAGCCGAGGCCACCGACAAGGCAAATGCTTCTCCTCAAAAGGATGACATCGTATATCAGACATGTTCAACGCCTCGACGAGGAAGGACTGGACTACATCGCAGATGAAGAACTATTGGAATAGACTACAAATGGATCACAAACTTCTGATTGAGTTGCTGCGATGCACTGGAATTGAGTACCGCTCGGGTACCGGAAGAATTCACGCCCCTGACCATTGGTGGAAAGCAAAAATTAAGGTATTCGTTC